GTAGTAGTAGTAGTAGGATGAGGAGGAGGAGGAGGATGAGGAGGAGGAGGAGGATGAGGAGGAGGAGGAGGAAAAGAAGGGGGGAGGAGGAGGAGTAATGTAGTTGTGTCCCCTGGGGGCTAAAATATTTACATTACAGTATAAACCGTATGTGGTCTAATACCGAAACAATATTTATGCCTTTTCTTTCTTCCTCGTGAGGTTACTGAACCAGTCCTTGTTACAAATGGAATAACAGGAATGAGCTATCGGTCTGTCCACAGTTTAAATATAATATTTATTACATGCTTAATTGAATAGAAAGAACTCGAAATGACGAGAGGGGACATAGATACATAAGGGAGACGCTCGGGTTGTGGTGAGGGAGAAAGAGCAAATGAGGGACAGGGGTGGGAGTAGAAATAGAGAAGGAGTGGGTAAAATAAGAGACTGAAGCAAAGAATTAAGAAGTTTGGGGGGGGGGGGGATGAGGAGAAAGGAGTGAGAAGAAACATGAAAAGAAAGAAGGAGAATAAATGGTGAGGGGATAAGGGATGACAATTTGTTACGGTGTGGTTAGACGTTTCACCAAGCCCTCGAATGACATAAGTGAGGAGATATCTCAGTTTTTCTGCTGAAATGTATCAACACAGCTGGCGTTGACCATGACAGTGCAAATTCAGTAACCCCCCCCCCCTTTTTTTCAAAATCTTCCTAAACACTGTATTTAAATTGTGTAAGCAGCGGCGTTAACATGGTAAAAGTGAACTTCAGCTTTCCATGCGGAACTTGCTTGACCCACTACGCACATTTGGGGTCTCCAATCTCAGTGGGATCACATTTGCGTCGCCGTGATGTCATGAGCGAAAAACACTTAATTAACTTTTTGGGAAAAATGAGCGATTGAAAAATATACTTTTACAGGATACATTTACAGAACAAACTTATCTTTAGCAGGATTTCCTTATCGGACCTTAGTGTCATAACGGTAGCGCCGTAAACCTTTGTCTGACAGCCGGAGTCTGTCGACACATTGCAATAGTGCTGAAGAGCAGTTCAGTTAACCGAGATTCAAATCCTCAAACAATTTTTTTCCAGACTTTCGGTTGTCGAACAATTTTCATGGATTTCCAGCCTTTTGGGTCGTTCTTAATTAACAGAAAGGGGCCTTAAAATGGAAAGTCTCATGAATTGTAGAATAACGCTATAGATTTGGGATGGATATCGAACCCTTTTGTACTCGTTGCTCAGTTACTTCCAGCGCACACTTGTACACAAAGAGTATACGTGTCCTGCTTAGCAGAATTAGTGACAAAGGGACTGACATTTTGGCTAGGTTTCTAAGAGTCAAAGCTAATTCGAGTTCGTTGGATTCGATGGGGATTTGATGGGGGGGGGGGGGGGAGTTCTCAGACAAGTGTCAAACAATTTACATGTTTCATTTCGTTACACAATTGGCGCAATTCTTGGGAAATATATCAGGTAACCAAAGTTTGTACTTGGGGAAGTTTGGATACTCCCGTTCAGTCATTGATTCTGTGTAAAATTTTTGCGTACGTGACACGTGCCACAAGTACACAATTTACCACCACTTTATAATGAAATATGTACAACATTATGGAATTTTTACTCTGAGCGTGGCTGTGTGGCTTATATGATAGCTAAGATGGTTCAGTAAATTTGCTTGTTTGACGGGGGTACCGTGGGTAGGGGTGGAGGGGGGTTATGATCGTACAATGTATGCTGAGGGCCAGATTTGAATAAGCATATATAATTACTCAAAATGTCTGCGTTAGCAGTGGCAAAGACAATGCGATTTGCTAGTCTATAATTATAGTTTGTCAGCCTCAAATGTGTGCTCTTTACGGAGTGTTTTGCTGGTTGTTTG